GCTGTACGGGTTAGAGAAGAAAAGCAGGATATCATTGTGAAAATTCTGAGTGAAGGGTATAAGACAGGTAGTGATGGTGAGACAAGAAAAAACTCATGTCAAGTCCCACTTGAGCTGACGGAGGAATGACACTTTTAAGAGTTTTTATCTGGGAGGTTGGGGAGATAGTTCTAAAAACTGGAGTGTTTGCCTGACATGCTCAATTCCCTCTGTTTGATTCCTGGCACTAGATGAGTCCAGAGCACCACCAGAATTGCTTGCTCAGGTCACCTCTGGTGACCGCCTGAGCACCACAGCACTGCTGGGTCCCAGCATTGAGCTGTCTGGCTCAAGCAGTTGGGCTAAGTGGCCTCAGGGGTCCCCATGCAGTGCTCTGGGGGGCTCCCCTGACAACCTTGTTAAAGAAGAGGTTCTACCCTCACCTCTAGACTTAATCTTGTTCCTCAGAGCTCAAAATTCTTTACCCCCTCTTTCCACATGGTGAACTGCACTAATTCTTGAACTCCTGCTTACCAATATCCTTCTCTGTGAAAGCATCTCTGAAACTAGCACTCTGAAACTAACAGGTAGAAGGAATTGCTGATCTCATGTGCTCCTACACACTTTTATTCTAGTATTACCCACCACTCTAGGTTATAGGGAGTAGTCTACTCTCTGTTTCTCTTCTAAACGGTGAACATGTAAAGGCTGGGCAAAGCTTTTATATCCCCAGCATACTGCTCAATATACTGTACCACTCAAAAATATGTGGGATATGTATAAGAGAGACAATTTAGGTGGTGGTTAATTATTATGGAGATAGCCATGGTTCAAGTAGCAGGAAGGAACGAGGCCTGGAGAAGGACATGAAGCTTTGGAGATAATGCTTACAGAATAATCAGGTATAAGGCACAAGGAAACTCAGAGAGTGTCTTTAGGAAATTAGGGCTGGGGCTAAAGCTTGAAGTGAAAGGTACTGATAAGAGACAAGGCAGGTATGTGAGTGCAAGTGTGGTATTATTCACCGAGAGAGAAGAAAAGCAGGATATCATTGTGAAAAAGCTATGAGTGCTTTCATTTCTTCATTTTCATGGACTCAGTATCACTTCTAAAGAGAAGGGCATGAGCTCTCAAAAAGATCATAACGTTTCTTGTAAATTGCTCCATTTAAACTAGATGCAGAGTTCATTAAGGAATACAATTTTCACTCGCTGATAGTTCCAGTATTAGAATAGATGGAATTTGATGCAATAATCAACATACTTTATGAATACCAAAGGTAGGTTTTTCAATTATTTTCTCTGTCTAAGAAATAGACTGCTTTTCAATTTCTCATTTGGCCAAACAGAGGGTTTATTAAATTCATCACCAACACTGTTATTTTTGGCTGTCTACTTCTAGAGTGGAGTATTTGTCAAGCACGAGACTGCAGTCTTGGGCTGGTGGCATAGTGCAGTATGGGGAGTAGCAGTTGTCTTGCATTGTGAGGCCCTGGATTCGAACGCTGGCACCACAAAAATGAAAAAGGATTCAAGTCTTTGGCTGAACAAGATAGTGATGAGAAAATGGACAACCAGAGTGTAGTCTCTCCAGATCAAAAGTAAACATCCCTCAGTTTGCCCTTTTATAATGCTGATCTCCCAGCTACTTCATCACAGAATGAGCTCTCTTACTTGTAGCTTAAATGATTGCTGAGGAATATTGTATAAGAAGGGCAATGTTTCAATTTCACTGCAAATTGCATTGGCAAAAATCTACGACTTACTCTATGTTCTTAGCTTTGGCTATAAGGATACTCCAAACACAACTGGCACTCAGGGATTTTCTTCTTCTGGATAGACAGAAGCTCATTGGCATCAAAGCTGCTGGACTGCCTGCCATAGACGCAGGCTTGTCGGGGGAAGGGGTGGTGGGAGGGAAACTGGGGACATTGGTGGAGGAAAATGTACATTGGTGAAGGGACAACACTATATGACTGAAACCCAATGACAACTTTTAAACTATGTATCTCATGTTAACCCGATTAAAAAAACACCAGAGAGAGAAAAAGAAAAAATTTTAAAAAGCTGCCTGAGGTGTTTCATGATTATGTATGTTTGAATATTCAGATTAACGATAGTATAACTAAGGAAAAAGACATCTGGAGGGTAGGCAAGAACACTCATGAAAAAATGGCATCCTCCCACCCCCATTTCTTAAGAGTGCATTTGAATTCCTCCTCCATGAAGACTCACAATTCCTCTCTGGAGTAGAAATCCCACCTTCCTCTGCAGAGTGATGCACTCTTAATTAAGTCACATATCAAGAACTCACTACATCGTGGTGGTTAGGAGCTCAGAGTTAGAGGTCAGACCAAGTTGGTTTGACTCACATTTTGCAATCCCTCAATTTTAACACCTGGAAATAGGAAATGAATAGTGTTTACCACATAAAATAGTAGTTAAGTAGTTAACAGGTCAGAGACATGGGGAAAAATGACTTAAAAAAACCTAAAAGAACAATGGGAATGAAGCTACCATCTGTGGGATTATGAATGAACTAAATCCTGCTAACTCCTGCCCAGGGGGAACTAGAGCAGCACCACTGTCACCTCTATTGGTCTGGGATTGCTGGTCTGGGCTCTTTGCAGGCATGGCCTGACTTGCATAGGGAAGGGTTTGGTGCAGTGAGCCACTGTTCTTGGAAACAGGGCATGGCCTGAAAGGGAGCCACCCGCTCACCAGACACACACCTCACATTTGTTGGGAGCCTGATGTTAAACTACTAGAGGACCCACCTCTGTAGCAGACCAGCTCTCTCAGTGCGATCTACTGAGAGTCACCCGTCAACTCAACACAGGGTATAAAAAAAAGAGAGAAAAAATATCGAAAGGAAACAGCAAAATTAATAAATGATTGATTCAATTTAATTAAACAAATACATAACTTAGACATTTCCTTTATATAGTTCAAAGTTGTGTTTACTGCTGGATTAAAGTTATGAATGTTTTTTTTTGTGGGGGGGACACACCTGGCTGTTGGATAACATGGGTTGTCTATTTTCTCCTGCTGCAGGGAGCTTTGGTTTATTGAGTAACATCTATCACAGTGCTCCCGAGGTACTTCCATTCCCCTGTGTTTATCTTTAACTTCTTCCTAACCCCAGCAGGGTCCTTATCCAGTTGTTTCTCTTTGGATCATGACAGAATTTGTCATTGACCATGCTCTTAACTTTTGTTAAGCTTTATGACACTTGGCCTGTCCTGTTTCAATGCCAATGTAGGTTACAGCTTGCCCTGGGTCCATCCAGTCCCTTCATTGGGACTCTCCTTTTGGGGTGCTATGAATTAAGGGCAACTGAAGCTTAAGTCTAGTAAATATGAAGATGCTCAAGAGTAAATATTATTTGGAGTCAATTAACTCCCAAGTTATAAAAGCACAGCATTAACTATCTTCCTGTGTCTATATGAAAAGAATATTGCTCTAAAGTAAACTATGCAAAAGGACATAAAGGAAAGAGAAAAGCATTATTTCACTTGCATATACAAAACTCAGAGTCCTCAGAAGAAGCTGACTTTACAAGTCACAGGGTCTGATTTGGGGAAATAAGTGATTAGTGGATATGGGAAGCAGGGCACAAAGGAGAAGTTAAAGATAAACACAGGAATGGGAGTGCCAGGAGCACTGTGATAGGTGTTACTCAATAAATCTAAGCTCCCTGTGGCAGGGGAAAAAGGATAAACCAGTATTATCCAAAATCTGGTGATGCTCAGGGGTTAATCCTGGCTCTGTGCTCAGGAATTACTCTTGATGCTCCTCGGGGGACCATATGGGATGCCGGGGATCAAACCTGGGTTGGCCACGTGCAAGGCAAGCATCCTACCCATTGTTCTATTGCTCCAGCCCTATATACGATTACATTTGAACTGATAACAAATGTGGCCATAAATTTTCCTTAGGTTGATGAGGGACTTAAAATATCTAAATGTGCTAAAGAAAAGTATCTCTGAGTACAGTCCTTGTAATAATTTTACTATTCCATTGTATGATATTTTTAAGTGCTGCAGTTTTTGAATTACTAATGCTTTGTCTTTCTAACGCCTAAAATCCTTGCAGATGATATTATAGAGAAAGGAGTTAGGCATGCAGTAAAAATGCTCTGGGATTCACCACCAAACAGATGTGAACTCTTGGGCCTTGCCTTCAATTATTTCACTGACAACAGGAAGACTATGATACTTGTTCCAAATCCTCTGCCACATATCCTCAACCATGAGGACGACGAACCAGATTTAAACTGTATAGACAAATGAGAAAAATAAGCCTGAAGCACCTATAGTGCCTACCATGGCCCTTAGTCATAAGGAGGTCTCAATAAACATCTGGTGATTTCTAAAGAAGACTGCTTCCTGCCCTCACACTGGGAAATACTGTGCATATCTATTTTTTCTCTGTTTGCTTATTCATTTAATGAACATTAATTTAAACATATTGAGCCACTTCTACATTATAGGGATATGATAGAAGCTGAGGATATAATGGGGCACCTAGATTGAGGAAAAATTATCTTTTTCTTTCAACATATGGTTATCTATCTGTCTATCTGTATCACAAGTAGCACTGGAGCACTGTCCTCCCATTGTTCATCAATTTGCTTGAGCGGGCCCAGTAACGTCCCCATTGTGAGACTTCCTGTTACTATGTTTGGCATATCAAATACATCACAGGAAGCTTGCCAGGCTTTGCTGTGCAGGCGGGATACTCTCTGTAGCTTGCTGGGCTCTCCGAGAGAGGTGGAGGAATTGAACCCAGGTTGGCCTCATGCAAGGCGAATGCCCTACCAGCTGTGCTATTATTTGAAGTAAGGAAATTTAAAGACAGACAACCCCACACCTAAAACACTTCAGAATGGGCTTTAAATATTTCTCATGGAGAGTGTTCCCATTCTGGCTCTAGTTTTTCAAGTAAGACTGGACTGCACTACATAGAAACTTACTCCTCCTTAAGGCAATAAACAGAGATTCAAAACTTCACAGGACTCACTGGTGGCAGGCAAGAGTTCCAAGTGGTTGTATCATCACTGCTGCTACTTATGCTGACATTGCAGTTGTCAACCTGGGATGCACTCAGGCCATGGGAAGGCCCTGTGTCCTCTAGTTCTTCATTCTGCTGCCGTCGCAGGCTTGCCAGCATCTGCAACTCAGATTCACTCATCTGGCTGGGCTGATAGTTTCTCCAGTCATATTCCTGATCAAGAGAGAAGAAAGTGAGAGGAAAAAGGTCACGACTTTTCTCAATTTTATGATATTCCAGCAAATGGTCTCACCAGTTAAAACCTCTTCTTTGGTTTCCCAAGGACAGAGGTCCAAATCTTTAACATGCCTTATTTAATGTTGTTTTCCATCCCCTCCACCCCACTCACAACACACGCGCACGCACACATGCACGCATACACACACACACACACACACACACACACACACACACACACACACACCCTCACCTGTTCCTGATACCTCAGCCAAACTGTCCTTTGCCAAGGACCTCAAATGCATCAGACTCAAAATCAGATACATTGGAGATACTTAGCAAAGGAGGTGGAAGACCTGAAGCCACTATTAAAAGAAACAGAGGCACAAGGGAAAAATATTCCATGTCATGGATTAGAAGAATTAACATCATTAAAATTATCATTCTACCAAAAGCATTATACAGATTCAATTCAATCCCTATACAAATCCCAATGTCATTGTTTAAGGATATAGAATAAATATTACTAAATTTGTATGGAATCAGGAAAATTTTCAAATAGTGCTTCTGGGAAAGCACCCTAAAAAATAATTCTGAGGAAAAATAAAAACTAGGCATTGCATTCCCTAACTTTAAACTATACTCTAAAGCTATAAACAGTATAACACCAGAATAAATCAGGTCTACAAATCAATGATATATAATTAAAAGCCCATATAAACTCAGATGTTAATTTACAATGAAGGAACTAGGTGCATTAGATGGGGGAAGAAAGTCTTTTCAGCAAATGGTGTGTGGAAAACTGATTAGTCACATACTTAAAAAAAAAGAAACTGGACCCTAATAATATACCATAGACAAAAGGAATTCAAAATGGATTAGAGAGTTTGACAGTAGTCCTGACTCCACAAAGTAAACTGAGAAAAACTTAGGCAGATGTCTCCAGGACATCGGCTTCAGAGGTATCTTCAATGATTGGATTTTATTGGTAAATATAAATGGTTTATAAAACAAACAAGTTTCTGCAATATAAAAGAAATGATGGCTATAATAAAAGACACCTACTGAATGAGAGAAAATATTTAACACCGTACATCTGAGAAGACACAAGAAGCGCTCACAAAACTCAATAACAAAACCTATAACCTGTGAGCTCATCAAAAACTGGGGAGAGGAGCTGAATAGAAACTTCCTCAAAGAATATATAGAGATGGCCACCAGGCATAAGAGAAAGTGTTCATCATCTCTGTTCATCACGGCAATGCACATCAAAACAATGATGAGTTCTCACGCCATATCAGTGAGAGAGGCCTATGGCAAACTTGGAACAACCGGTGTAGGCAGTGGGGTAAAATGAAAGAGAAATCCTATTTCACTGTAGTGGAATAATCATCTCAATTACCCTCAATGGAGAGCAGAGTAAAGATTAGTTAAAAAGCTAAAAATGGAACTCCTGGGGACACTGGTGCTGGGAAAAGTACACTGGTGAAAGGATGGTTGTTGGAACACAGTATAACTGAAACCTAATTATGAACAGTTTTGTAAAGATCTCCACAGTGATTCAATAATAAAATATTTTAAAAAGTGGTACTATTATATGATCTAGGAAGGAATTCTACTCCTTGGCATCTATACCAAGAGAGTAAAAATATAATTGAAAAGATATACACACTTATGTTCACTGTAGAGCTGGTTACAGTCAAAAAGAAGTGTAGTAACTTTGTATCAAAAATAAAAATTAACACTATTGTAAACCTTATTACCTCATAAAATAAAATGAATAATGATGCATTGATGTAAATAACAAGGATCAGCAGTACACTAAGTGAAAGAAACTAAAGGCAAAATGTCAGCGACTCTATGACTCTTTCTATTAAATGTCTAGAAAAGGCAAATGTATATTCATGGAAATAAAATTTAGTTGCCAAGGTTAGGAGGAAAAGGAATTGGGGATTGACTGCTAATGAGAATGGCAGGATAGAGTATTGGAAAGAAAGTAAATGTTCCTCCCTAAAAAAAAAAATTACATAATAGCGATAGTCATAGGATCTTGTCAATATGCCTGCCATAAACTTTTAAATATAGTTCCAAAAGGTGACCCTTATGGTGTATGAATTATAGTTAATTTAAGAAAATTATTTAAGTAACTTAGTTGAAAACTAAATTATATGTTGCAAACAAGTGACTTTCTAACTTTTCACTTTGAATTTTCTGCTCATGAATAAGTGGGCAGAAATATTCTGTTGTATCACACATTATGTATTTTATTTGACTTTGTAAAATTATTATCAATGCAAAAATTTCAAAGAAAAATCTTAATTTTTAAAACATTTTTACTTTTTTGCTTTTTGGGTCACATCCGGTGATGCTTAGGGGTTACTCCTGGCTCTGCACTCAGAAATCATTCCTGGCGGTGCTTGGGGGACCATTTGGGATGCTGGGAATTGAACCCGGGTTGTCTGCATGCAAGGTAAACGCCTTACCCGCTGTGCTATCGCTCCAGTTCCGAAAAATCTAAATTTTTATAACATTTTTAAAATAAAGATTTAATATATATTTATCATGATTGATAAATATATATTATCAACTGGATATATTAATATTATCAATATTATAATTATATTAAATATTATATAAATTGGTTCATGGAAAAATCTAAGATGCTTGTATAAGATACTTGTATAAGAGTCTCCTGCCCCTGTGCCTGGCTGTCTTCGCCAGGGCCCCTTGGAGGGGGGCGGGTTGAGTTTCCCTCCTCACCCCAACCAGAGCTCCGGCAGCCGAAGACCTCCAGAACCAGCCACAACCATGCTGAGACCACTCTCCACATGCATGAAGGTACCGGTAGAGGAACAAAGGCATGCGGGTCCTGGGACTGAGATCTCCAAGCCTGCTTGGATCGGGGCTGAGCATCCTCCACCCAACTGACCCCCCGGGTGCCCGTGTAATCCCATCAATGGCCAAGACCCAGAGACTATAAAACCCAGCTCCCGGAAGCGCGCGGCCGCACACTTGCGGCTGCGCAACATCTTATTATCTCATTCTTACTTTGGACAACCTGGCAGGCTACTGAATATAACCTGCCCACACGGCAGAGTCTGGCAAACTCCCTGTGGCATACCCTATATGCCAAATACCAGTAGCAATGATGTGTCTCATTCTCCTAATGCTGAAAGAGCCTTGAATATGGCACTTTAAAATCTCAGGGCTAGGACGAAGGAGACATTACCAGGGCCTCCTCGAGGCAACTGACGAACAGCAGGATACCAGTGATACAGTGACAGTGATCATGATTGATTAAGCCATTTATTTATCTAACCCACCCATTTTGTGTCTGAGAAACAACACCATATGTGACAGGATTGAAATCTAGGAAAGAATGGGGCAGTGTCTGTCAGAGAATCTAAGTGGGGCACAAGTTCCACCATTTACTTGCAATATGTGAGTGGAAAAATTACCTAACGTCTCTTTGCCTCAGTTTCTTTATCTGTAAATGGAACCTTGATATAGACTTCATGGAATTTCTGTGAATTAAATGAAATATGCTTTTAGAATGCTCTTAGCACAGTAGCTAACAAGTAGTTATGTTACAGATCTCTATATTTCACTTTCATCAGAAAATGTTTGAGTATGCACTTTCCAATATATGCTTATTTATAAATTAAATAAAAATACAACTACACTCGTCCTTCATGCCCTACCGAGGTAACCAGTTGCCCCCCACGAGCGGCTCTCCAGCACGGCCATGGCTCCAGAAGCACAAGGACTTAATGCAGAGCCCAGTAGCTTGGAGCAAAAAAGTGAACGGACTATGCGTTAATCCACGCCACCATGTCTGCCCGAAGGGGAAAGGGCGTTGGTCCCCTCCGCCTTCTCCCCTCTGGAAAGAAAGATGGCAGCCGCTTGGGAGCCTTGTGGAAAGCCAGGTATGAGCCGGTGGTGACGGGGCGACTAAAACCTCATGGGAAGGGGGGTGTTCCCGGTTCGTCCTTCACGCCCTACTGAGGTCACCAGTTGCCCCCCACGAGCGGCTCTCCAGCATGGCCATGGCTCCAGAGCACAGAAACCAATCAGATAATCTCTTAATTATCTGACTCTCAGTAGAAATACTTCCAGGGTTAATAAGTAAAATAGAAGAAATCCAAAACCGCACGGCCGCGACATCATTTAATTCTTGAACCCAGCTGTAGAAAGCAAATCATTTCACAATGCTTTTTCAGTATGTCAGATTTGGGGGGGTAAACTCTAAATAATAATGGTGCATCTTTTATCGAAACAATGAATCTAGTCAAAATAGACAGAGTGTTAACTAGAATTCATCTGCCTCACAGGCACTGGGAGGGGTGGGGGGTGGGGGTTTATTGGGGTTCTTCATGGTGAAAAATAAGTATAGGTAAAGGGAAATTTGTTTGATATTTGCATGACCGAGACCTAAACCTGAAAGCTTTGTAACTTTTCCCATAGTGATTCAATAAATAAATAAATTATAAAAAATACAACTACATTAAAATACTATGTATAGTATAAAATATGTATAAACTAGATGTTAAACGGTTGAGATTAAAAAATGAAAATAGTTCAAATTTTCTTCCTGAAGCAATGGTTTGTTTTTGGAATAAAACTTGAAGGGTGGGATAAGTGCATTTCTTCTTAGATCACTGAATCAGAGATCAATACGTATAATTCTTCTCTCATTATCTCATTTTCTCACATTATGCAAACCTTTACTTATTTTTTTCAGTTGGTTTTTTGGCCACACCTGGTGATTCTCAGGGCTTACTTCTAGCTCTGCACTCAGAAATTACTCCTGGTGGTGCATGGAGGACACTAGGGGATTCTGGGGATTGAATCTGGGCTAGTGCATGCAAAGCAAGAGCCTTAACTGTGGTACTATGGTTCAGCCTGAACCTGCCAACTGCATCCCGCTTTTTTCTTTTCTAAGTTAGAAACCAGAAGTGTAAAGAAATTAAGGCACCCTCCATTCTTTATGAAGTTCA